GGCAGCTTCACTCTAGCCCGCTACTCCTTCCACTCTTCCCTTAAGGGAAACTTGCGCGCGGCAATCCACTGAAGTCGACGGCAACCTTTTGAGCCTAAAGTTTTAATATTTCCACGACTGAAATGAAACTCACTATTTCAGCGTTCCATTCAAAACCAGTTGAATAGCCCCATGCATAGGAATTGTGTTGGCTCATCAACACTTCATCGCTTCCAGTAATGTAACAGGCGAAGTAATCCATAATGTTCCCACAACGATCCCAATGTTTTTCGGGATCAAATGTGGAGTAGGAAGCGAGTTCGCAAAGCGTTCGCATACCATATCCGGGGAAAACACGATTACTTGTGGATCTGGAGAAGTATGATAGCAAGGCTGGTAAGGGTGGACTTGAGAGCGTAGGGCTAACTTGGGTAGCTTAACAGGCGCGGAAGGATCACCAGGGTACATCCAGTTATACAACTCGGAACAGTCCAGAACACCTAAATGGATTAATCAACAGCAGAGAAGAGAGGGACTGAGAATTTTTAAAAAGACTAAAGAATGGAGAAAATCTCAAATTTTTCCAGAAATTTTTAATGGAAGCCAATGCTGGCCGATGTTCACATAATAAGCTTTGAAGATGATTCAACCTTTCATTATCCAAAATGTGGGGAAATTAACAGAAATCGTTGGAAAGCCTGAAGCCCCCATCTAGAAGATTTCCTTCAAACCAATCTATTCTCAATGGAAACATAGCATTGGAAAGCTATATACTCACTGTACCTCACCGCGTCGTAGTGCATCTGCATTCCATAGGACCAAACCATGTTGCTGTCCGGCTATCCCTATTCGACTGATGTTTTGGCCAAATTCAGTTTTTACACGTTTGATAACATCCTCAAACAGCGCAAAGTAGGGCTTTTTTATTTATTAAAAACAGTACATAGTCATATTCAGACCTTTAACAACTTCTCAGCTTCCGTGATGATTTTACGAGCATCTTGTATTCCCACACCACGGTCAGAGATGTTTGCTTTGTGATGAACATGACCTTCCGTTAAGATTCTGAAACTTCTTTTTGTTTGCATCAAGTCGTCTTGAGAATTCAATTAGACGGTAAGATTATCTTGGTCTAATCTGCTTAACTGTAGGTGATATTCAGAAAAAAAACCACTAACTTGTCTCCCTGCACAACGCAGACCTTAATTGAAGTAGTGCCCAGATCAATACCAAGTGAGCAGGACATTTAATACAA